TTTTTTTTTGCAACGGTGTTTAATTATTTTCATTCTTTCTATGGTCGTTTCCCTGAGGTTCATTTCTAATGATTATGACGGGTTTTATTTATGGCGGAGGCACTATTTAGTTTTCACTGGTAATAAGTTTTCATCGAAGTGTGAAGTTTTTTAAATGAAGTATTTTTTTACCCGGAAAACTGGAAAGAGAGGATGCACGGATAATTGATTTGTTAAGCAAGGAATGAAGGAATTATTGGTCGGGTAGCCAAATGCTTTTTTTTGTGGTTTACCTGCTAGATGTTCAAAGCAATTCAGGAGCTTTTGTTCTGATGGCAATCTTGATGTTTTACTAGTGGGTCAGGAAGGATACTTTTTTTAATGAAGGAAACTGATTTTTGTTTATGCCAGATGCTTTAATTTGCAAAACCTTCGGATTTTTTCCCTTTTTCTTCTGGATGTATATTGTGTTTTTTGCTTTATAAAACTAGTTTGGGACCTTGAGTTAAAAAGAATCTGGGAACTATGTTTTTTTCTGCAGATCATTCAATTGAGGGCATTTCACTTTATTGGGATGGCGGAAACTAGTTTATATGAGTCGCGTGTTCGTTTCGAGTTGGTTGATGGTGGATTTAGTTTTTTTAATGAATATGTCGGACTTGAATTTCATTTATCATATTTCATACCGTCGGCAATGAACAAGGGACTCCATTATTGAGTTGAAATGCCTCATTATTTTGTGTCTTCGCTCTCAACATGATCTTTGATCGTTCCCATGTTTAGTGTAAGTCATCCACTTTCTTTGGTAACTTCGGAGTCACAGGAGTTGTATATGAGATAATGTTTTTATTTGAGGGGATATTTTTCGTATGAATCCACGTGTATTTTTCAGGGGCTTGTTTTAGGGATTCTTTACATTTTAAAAGGGAGAAGAAGTGCAGATATACTAGGTAAAAGTTCATTTTATAATTGTTATAAGTAAAAAGTTTCTCTATGGACTTCCTTTCTGCTTTCGTATGCGTTTTATATACTAATTGGCTTGATCTTCAATTCTTTAGTGGTACTGTAGAGAGCAGTAGGTTTCTTTAAGCATCATAATTGGTAAAGAAATGTGGGTAGCTTTTATTTGAAGGAATCTGAATGTTATTACCTGGGTGGTTTTCTCTATGTAAATACAGGCTTGGACTTCGTTAAATTTGCAGTTCAGGGATTATTAATGACCGCGTTTTTTTTTGGCATTCACTAAGTTTTGTTTTTTAATGCTTTGCATTTTATTAAAAGTAATCTGAAATGTTCAGTAGATTCAACGTCAGGGTATCTGCCGGTGTATTTGTTCACGCCGATTCTAGAGATGATAGTTTTAAGAAATTATAACGGCATTAAGCGTACCCATATATTGAAGATCCTTTCAGAAGTCATAAAGCCGGTGGTCCAGTAATTGATCCTCAAAAATCCATGATCTGGGGCGCCTGAGTGAATGAGTTTGCATTTGTATGGGGTAATGTTTAGGGTATGGTTGCAGAGCTCGGAGACGAACAGGTTAGGCGGTGCTCCCACAACCGTAGCGTGCATTTCCCTGCTGATGCCTTACTGATCTCCGGTTATCACGAAGCGCCATCAAATGCGTTCCATCTGCAGCGTATGAATTATCGAGTTTTAACTTTCCGTTTATTTGTTTATTTGTCATTTGTTACTGTTTTTTTTGTATTTTAGCTGTCTATCGATCATAGATCGGAACAGTTTTTGGCTACTGGTTGAAAAAATCATCAGTTTTGAAATGGCTTTGTTATTGGCATAAGCCTTTTTAGTTATACAAATTTTATTATAGCTTAAGTCTCTTTCTTACTAAGTAATTTTATATTTTTCTCCTCATTTCTTGGTATTTTGTCCAAATAAAGATTTAGCTCGAAATTAACTTTTTAATTTATTTTTTGATATTCTGCCTTGCTTTTGAGAAAAGGTTTTTTTTTTTTTAAAGCAAAGAAACCTTGGAATTTATTTAGCACTCAGTTTATAGGAAGGTTTTATATTTTTTCTTATAATTTGGCTTCAGAGTCTCATACAGTCGCGGTTATCACGGAAGCATACCAGCGTGCTTGTGAGCGTCAACAGGTTACACCTAATGAAGCTGTGGAACGCCAGATCGCGGTAAGTTTTTTTTGGCTTGAGTTATCACTTTAATTAGTGGTTTAAAGTTTCCCAATGCCTCTGAATGTCAAAACTTTTTATCTAATTGCTCAGTGTGGTTTTCAAAAATTTTTATGTGGTTGTGGTAATATAGTTTTGTTGTGAATATTGTTTCGTGTGTTTCTGGTATAACGTCTGTTTAAGCTCTACGACAAGGCTATTGTGAGATCAGAAAATTCCGCTTTGAATTTGGCCGTTCAGTTCCATTAATGAGTTTTAGCAGTTTTAATGTTTTGTTTTGTCATTGTTTTCACAAATGTTGGTTATAATTTGATAATTCGCAGCGTTTTTTGAAATTGCTATACGATTGGTTTCACCAGCGATTTTGCCTGGCTATTACGGTTTGGTATCATCGATTAAGTTTGATATTAGTGTTTAGCCTGTATTTCAAAACGTAGAAAAACAAGGATTTAGTGTTTTTTTGGTTCTCACGTCGTCTTCGCTTCATATTCTGTTATTGATTTTGTTACACTTTTTTGGCATTTGGAGGGCAAAGTAAACAAGCAGATGATGCTGTAGTGACTTTGAAGATGTATGACAGCGAGTTAAAGAAATGTTTTTTTGCGGCAGAAAAGGGCTACTTTATTGTGGGTTTATTCTGGAGAGTGGAAACCAGTTTTTGATACCTGACATCTGTCACGCTTCAAGGTAATCTGATGTTGGTCATTCCACAACAGCTCGAAATTTATTTCTGACTTTACTGCAGGTTAACACGCCAATCCTAGAGAGTAGTTTTTTTTTTTTTTTTGAGGACTTGATTGAGTAACCAGAAAAGGAATGAGGATTTTTGGATATCCTCTTAATTTACGTATTAGATGCTAAAAATCGTTTGACGGTTAAGCACATAACAATCCCCTTGAATTCATTTTTTTGGCTTATTGATTACTTCTAAAAAAAGCGACATGTTTCCGATGATACACGCAGTAG